AGAGTTTACCATGAGGAGGTATGCAGTCGGATTTTACACTTTTTCATTTATTTTGTTTTTTTAATATTTTTTTTGTTTGTTCTTATATTGGATTCGCCATTTTTAAAACCGATATTACATTTTTAATCTACTACATCAATAAATCCCAAGTAACAACTTTTAAGTAAATCTGATAAATTTTTTAAAATGGCGCCAGCCATATTCGAACCGCCACATTGTATTTTCAAAATCTGATATCATATTTGTAATCAGCGACCCCGAAAACTCCTGAGTAACAAGTTTCAAGTGAATCCGATGAATTTTTGAAAATGTCGTCCGCCATATTGGATCCGCCATTTTGAATTTTTAAAATCTGAAAACGGATTCGTAATCAGCGACCCCGAAAACCCCCGAGTATCAATTTGTGGACAAATCTGTGTGTTTTTGTAGACAAAAATCTGCTTGCGTCTATACACGTCATCGACAGTTTGAGCCCACCTGCACCATGACGTGTATACACGTCATCGACTGCCAAGGGATTAAAATATTTTTGAAAAAAGTAATTTTTAGAATTTTTTCATATTTTTTAAAATTCAATTCTTTTCAATATTTTCAATTACATATTTCCGAGAATTCAAAGATATATACAAAAAAACAACATTAAAATTTTTTAGAATTATTTTTAACATTTTGGAGAAAACAATCATGTTCAGAAACTTTTTTTAAAATTCTTCAAAGATTTGATTATTTTTTTTTATATTTGTTAAAAATTCAATTTATTATTTTTAAAAGATTTTTACCAAATTTCAATTATTTGGAAATTTTTCAATTGAGGCCTTGGATCGAATAACTTGCCCGACGCTCGGAGGAACGCGCAACTGCCAGTCAGTGAGCAGTGAGCGCCTCTGGGCCACTTACTGCTACCCGTCTGGTATTAGCGCGTGCCTCCGAGCGTCGGGCGAGTTATTCGATCCAAGGCCTCAATTGTATATAAGGGAGCGTTCACAAATGATGTCATGTTTTTGGGGGTAGGGGGGGTCTCTACTAAACGTGACACAATGTATTTTTACATGTGAAATTGCATGAAATTGTGGACAGGGGGGAGGGGGGTCTAAAATCCCGAAAAATTGCGTGACATCATTTGTGAACGCTCCCTAACTAAAAAACTATTATCTTTCAAAAATTATTAAATTTTCGGAAAATTATTAAAATTAATTGATTTAGAGATAAAGTTTAATTGAACATTGTAGAAAATAATTGCATTGAGAGAACAGAGTAGTTATCGCAACCAATAAAATGCTTACGAAAACCAATTTGGTTTGTTAACTATACTGCTGCTAATTGGATAGTTGAAGATACCATTTTTAAATAGTAAAAGATTTACCATTTTCTATTAGTAAAGGCAACTATTTTAGTTGGTAGGGACCACTAATAAAAGTTCTAATAGGTACATTTACTTAGTTCATTTTACAATAAATAAATATATAACAACAATTATTTATCTAATACACGGAGAAAATTTCTTTATTAATGATTACAATAGTCTATATTACAGCTCGGATATGTGACCACTTTTTGTAATGATTACGAAAACTATGTAATTTATTAAGAATTTAGTATAGGAGCGATTACTATAGTTACTTTAATGAATCCAAACACTGTATTAATCATGTTGAAATTTATTTTTTGGAATCATTAATAGTTTAGATGTACAGGTTCAAAAAGGGTACTGTAGGCATTCACTCAGAGACTTGTTATAATTACAATAGTCTACGTTAAAAGGAAATCTTGGATTCTGTTCACATTTGCAGCGGTCTGAGGGAATCAGTGATACAGACTGTAGTAGCCTTTACAACAGGACTATTGTAAAATAAGGTGACCGCGGCCGCCTTGCCTTCTTATTTTACTATAGTTCTTCGTAAAGACTACTATTGCTATATTTCTGATTACAAATGACTGTTGTAAAGTTAAAAAAGAAAATTTTCAACTAAAATAAATTTTTTTTGTAATTCATGACATACGTAAAGTACGTAAGTTACCTAATTAGTGCAATTTACAATAATTCGTTCATTACGTAACTTAAGTTATTTACGTAAAAGCAACTTACGTTATTTACGTAACTTAAATTATTTACGTAACTTATATTTTTACGTAACTTACGTTATTTACATAAGTTAACTTACTTATTTATGTAATTTACTTTTGTTATTTACGTAACTTACGTAACTTATGTAATTTACGTAAGTTGTGTAAATTATATAACAATTTATACAGGCAAGAGATCTTGTACCTTCGGTGCGTGTGTTAGAAAAAAAAATTTTCTCTATAGAAATGTAATAAAAAATAGACCTTACAATATTAAAGACTAACAATGAACAATAATTGTATTAATTGATGAGAACGAAGTGATTTTTTTACATTTAAAGTGTATTAGTCTTTCTCGCAAGCGGTGAATTTTCATAGCAGTTAGTATATAAGGAAGTTTAAGTCATGTATAAATATGTGTAAATAGCGATCGTTATTATGTTATGCGTTTATTATTTAAGTTAGATTTATGTACTTAGGGTTTAGTAAAATTATCTAGTTTAATAATATAATTAATCTTAAAGTGTCTTGGAAGAGTAATTAATGTGCAATATATGATTGGAAGTCATGAATTACAAAAAAATTTTATTTTAGTTGAAAATTTTCTTTTTTAACTTTACAACAGTCATTTGTAATCAGAAATATAGCAATAGTAGTCTTTACGAAGAACTATAGTAAAATAAGAAGGCAAGGCAGCCGCGGTCACCTTATTTTACAATAGTCCTGTTGTAAAGGCTACTACAGTCTGTATCACTGATTCCCTTAGATTGCTGCAAATGTGGATAGAATCCAAGATTTCCTTTTAACGTAGACTATTGTAATCAGTCACACAGACTTTGTGCTCACTTATGTTTAGTTCGTATTTATTTCGAATAAATTTTTAATGAGTACGTTCGACTTACAGAACTGTTACAACGAAGGTACTTTAGGCATTACGAAAAGTGGTCACATATCCGAGCAGTACTGTTCTACTATTGTAATCATTAACAGAAAATTTTTCTCCGTGTATTATTCGCACACTATAAAGACATGATAAACATATTTTTTAATGTGCGAATAATATTAGAAAAGTAATTATCATTATCCTTACAAAAATAACACTGCACTTTTTCTTCGAGTATACAAAATATTCACAAGTTGCACTTATTATACGTCCTTTACATTTTTCGACTCTCGATATCTCTTCTGATAGTTTCATCAGTTTTCACACACTCGATATTCTTCTTATCATAAAAATACCAAAAAGTTAGAAACAAATAACCACATAAAACTTTAACAAACGCACTAAGAGGACAACACTATGTTATGCGTCATATGTGAAGCCGACATTTTTTTTCTCGTTTACTATCGAAAATGGTAAAGCCAACTATTTTTGTGGATGCATTTACTATTTCACATTTACTAATTCTAAATAGTTACGTTTGATATGCAAAATATTAAAACTTACTGGTAAAATTACTAGATTTTACTAACTAAATAGACGGGAGAATAAATTTTGCCTTTACCAATAAAAAAGTAGTTGCTCTAACCATTCATTTCTCTCAGTGTGAATTTTGAAAGGTTACTGGTTGTAATTTTCATAAATTATTAAATTTCAGAAGGTTTTAATTTCAAATTTTTTAAATATTATTTCCCGTGAAAAACAAAATAGTATATTAAGCAACAAGGGTATAAAGGCAGCCATTTGTTTACGGTGATTCTTGTGACACGAGTGGAGGTCGAGGGCGCCCCGAGACCTCCACTCGTGTCACAAAAATCATCGTAAACAAATTGGCTGCCTTTATACCCTTGTTGCTTACGATATTTTTTATTCCTAATGCACAAAAGTGGCGATTTCAGATAGCAGACGACAGGGAATAAAAGTCAGTCACTTGTTCGACTTATATGAAAATGGCGCCCGTTTTCTCCCTTGGGCAAAAATAACGCATGGGATCAGCGGTTATCCCAGTAAAAAAAAACTAATTCAAATGAATTGAAACGAATTAACATTTTTGGTAGGCTCCAATTCGTATTTGTCACAAAGCGGGATTCACTCAAGCTCTTTGTATATTTAATTGAATTTAATTCAATATGTACCAATTTGTCCAAACGAATTCGCATTCGAAAGAAATGGCCAAGGAATGCATTGAATTCGTGCTAACGAATTGAAAAAAATTAAAGGCTCAAAACTTGTCCAGTGAATTGGTACGGATAGAAGGTTCGGAAGTTCAATACAGTTTCACGAATTCAGGAAAATTGCATCATGGCTCCAATTTGTATTTGTCACAAAGCGGGATTCACGAAAGCTCTTTGTAAATTCTTTTTAATTCATTTCAATTAGTTTTCGTTTACTGGGATATGTTTGCACATGGGAGAAAATGGACGCCATTTTCATATGGTCGAACAAATGAGTGACTTTACTTCCTGTCGTCAGCTATCTAAAAGCGCCATTTTTGTGCATGTGGGATAAAAAAGAATTATTTAAATATTTATTTAACAAAATTATTCAAGTCTTGAATAATTGAATTTAGAAATCAGTTAAAGGTCAAGCAAATACAAAATAAAATTATTGTGACCGCACTGAATTAAATAAACGACTTTTTTGTGTTTTTAATTGACTAAACCGACTTTTTTGCGCCTTAAAGTCTTGTATTTATAATCTGTATATTTCTCGAAAGTACGTATCCCTAATGTTTCTACAAAACCAATTTTGGTGAAATCCATTTTGACAATTTTAAGAAATTGAATTTGTTCTAAAACGGTGCAAAAAAGTTTATCTGTTTATAACTTGAAAAAAAAAATTATTTTGAAAAATCGTTTATAGGTCTTATTAGTGACACTGTGGGCTATCAAAACATATTTATGTTCCTTACCCAAAAAATATTAAGGGGCCACTTCAATAATTCTTCCCCAGGTAGAATTTTGACTTATAAAATTGAAATTATTTTTGTTTTTAGGTATGGGATCTATTCTATCAAGCGGATAAAGTTCGTTCAATGTTGACAAGATTGATTAAGGAAGAGGCGCTTAGGACTTATCTCTTTACTTATTCTCACGTATATGATTCGATTGCAATACCAAGATTGGCAGATATGTTCCAACTGAAAAAAGCCGTTGTTCTTTCCACCATTAGTAAAATGATTATTAACGAAGAACTCATGGTAAGCAAAATTAAATTTTTAGATATAATTTAATAAATTATATCTAAATATATTATTATTATTATTATTAAATTATTACTATATACAGTAGAATCTCTCATAAGTTAATTTTCCCCTATCGTGTACCCCATGTAGGAGTATAAGGACTTAAGGAGACATATCTCCAATGGGAAAATTTCCTGATATTTTTTTTTTTTTCTTTTTTTCTTTTTTTTTCTTAAATGACTTGAAGCTAGGCCACGCTCTTATACACCACTTATACACACACTCTTATATACCAACTACTTTTTGCGTTTCTACAGAACGACTTTTTGAGGTTAGGAGTACTCGCATTTGCCTGGACCACCCGTCAATGGGTTTTCTCGCCAGAGAAGAGGGAAACTGTAGAAAACCTCTCCTGAGTACAACCGGTTTATCGACAGCCGAGTTTTAACGGTGTGTACTGGACAATAATCGACAGTGCACATCATTATACCTCGACGTCAAACCTCCCGCTCAGATTATCTCACGTGCCGGAAAAATCCCAGGCTAATGGGCGCGAACCAAGTACCCTTGGTCCGCCCACCGAGCCAGGCATTTATCCGACCGAGCTAATCTGTCGGTATTTCCTGATATTGACTGTACTTCTCTGCAGTAAAATCGAAAGGCACGCGAAAAGTAATAGCCTCATGTTCACTGATAACAGCGCCGCCAAACGGGAGAAATAAGTGCAATTTTACATTTTAAGAATTTTTATCTTTGACAGTTGATTGATATTTAAGGTTAGAGGATCCTCTGAGTGTTGTATTGTAAAATAAATGAACAGAATTAAATTGTTTTATACGTTATATAAATAGAAAGGACTTCAAATAAACAATCAAAAATTCTTTGCATTAAATTCATAAATGTCTGTTGGTAAAAGTATAAAAACTTTTACCCTTACAAAATAGTATATTAAATAAACTTATCATTCTCGGTGCTTTGAAAAAACGCTTTTTTTTAGATGCATTTTTATTTGCTTTATAACTAGACATGCAATTTTTTATAAAACAATTTATATTACTATTATTTTATTGTTAAAAAAAACTACGTAAACAAAACTTTTATCATGGTATATATTTTCTCCTGTAGGGGCGCTAATATCAGTGAACAAATTTCCGGTATGCCAATTTTCGTGCATGGCGATTTTACGCAGTCCAGTACAGTCAAAAGGGATACATATACATACTTCTCCTTATACTCCTTCATGGTGTACCCCTTCTACCTAAACAGGGTTGCTACAGAAGTCTGTTTTTAAATTTCCATGACTTTTCCAGGTTTTCCAGTACCAAATCTGATAAATTTCCAGGTCACCTTTTGAACATTATAAATTAGAGCAATTTTTCTGTATTATAAAAATATTCACGTTAGATTATCTCTATTTGATTATTAAAGCACAGACAGGGTGTCTACTGAAAATATGACTTAAAATTCCAGGACAGATTTTTTATTTTTCCAGGACATTTACATGTGTAATATTATTTCATATTACGATTAACATAATTTAAATTAACCTACTTGAACAAAAATATTAATTTTATTATAAAAAGAGTTAAAAATCAATATTATATAATATAGATATCAGATTCTTTAATCAAACGACAAATTAAAATTATTTTTTGATAGATCAAAAAAATTATTTTTTAAAATTTGAGTAAAATTTTTAAATTATTGAATATTTAAAAGCCAAATATGGAAAATTCAAGGATATTTCAGGACATTTCCAGGAATTCCAGGACATCTTTTCCAGTAGTAAAAAATATTAAGTGGAATAAAATTCCAGGCATTTCAAATTTCCATGACATTTTCAGGTATTCCAGACCTTTTTTTTAAAAAATCCCTGACTTTTCCAGGTATTCCACACCTTTTTTAAAAAATCCCTGACTTTTCCAGGTTTTCCAGGTTCTGTAGCAACCCTGCTAAAAAATAAACATAAAGTGCATAGTGGCACTAATTTCTCCTTACACGGCAAATCTCTCTTATGTTAACCCCCCACCAAAATTAACTTATGGGAGATTCTACTATATATATATATATATATATATATATATTAATAATTACCTGTAATAGTCATGGTCTTGTAAATTATAACTTCAATATAATACTATTTATATTATTTTAATTATGAAATTTGATAAAATATTTCAAAAACGTAATTGTAAAATAATTCTATTCTGTTTTAAAGGCGTCGCTGGACGATCCAACAGAAACGGTTGTGATGCATCGCAGTGAACCAAGTCGCCTTCAATCGCTGGCTCTACAACTCACGGACAAAGTTAATAATTTAGTTGATTCCAATGAACGCATCTTTGAAATGAAACAAGGTAAAATTTTTATCTACTTCCTAACATTCTATTTTCTCCGTTTCATCACTTTGTTATTTGATTGAAAAATATATCCCCCTTTTAATTTATAAAACAAAAATGTTACTTTTTTTACCAATTTTTCATAATAATTGAATTGCAGGTAACTACTTCTCAAGGGGTGGCAATCAAGGCAATTTCCGCGATCGACCGAATTACAATCGTCAGGGTCAAGACTGGGGACGCCAGAGACGCGATCGTAATCGTGATGACAATCGAAATTATTGATTCAATCATTGAACTTTGAATTTTTTGTAAATTCTACAATTTTTTATATATATCCATAATAAAGTATTAGGATTCAATGTAATTATTATGCATGTCTTTGATTAGATATACATACATAATACAAAAAAAGAAATTTTTACAAAACAATAATTTTATTCGGTAATTGATTTTTTATTTACATAATTTATATAATATAATAATAGAGATAATTCAAATTTTCTCTTCATTCTGAAAGCGGTATAAAAAATTTGTTTTCCACAAAATTTTGTAATAATAAATATGATAAAAAAATTTCTTCTTTTCTTAAAAAAAAATTAAGTTTACATTTCTTTTCTTTAAAAAATAAAAAACAAATTTTGTTGTAATTCTAATTTGTTTGTAAAATTTAATTAATTATTTTCTACCTAAAAAAATTATAAAAAAATTTGTTGTTACGAATTTTGTACAGTTTCTATTAGTTTATTTCCGGTTATACTGCTATCTGAGACTAAAACTAAACGAATACCGGCAGATTTTTCTATTAGTCGACAAGCGGATATTTCGGCGTATGTTATGCCACCTATAATACAAACAACAATTGTTTTTGGTGTAATTGTTCCTTGACTGCCAGTGACAATGCACTCAGGTAAATTAGTCAATTCTTCGAGACTCTTCGCATCCATTTGATTCGCAACAGTATTTATTATTTGCGCCTGAAAATCAACAAGATTTTTTGATTGTAGGACAAAAGTTCCAAACCAGAAGTTCCAATCCAAAAGTTCCAATATGAAAAAGTTCCAATAAACAAAATGTCCAATTTAAAAAAGTTCCAAAGTGAAAAAGTTCCAAAATAATAACTTCCAATATCAATAATTTCCAAATTTGAAAACACGAAAGTACACAAGTGCCAACGTAAATATATTTAGAAATAAATATAAAAATTTAATACATGTAAATAAATAATACAATCAGTAAAAATATATAAAAAAAATCGAAAAACACATAAAAAACAGAAGAAAATTAAAAGGTTATGTTATGCCCGATATTTTTTAAGTAATTAATGATATCGTCATTTTGAGCGTATTCGTGGTGTTTAATCACAATGTTGTATATTCTGTCTTCTATCTTTTGACGACTCGGTGGGCGAGGTTTTTTAATTTTTTGGCCAAGATTAAGTTGGGTTGTATACGTTTATAAAAAAATTAAACAAAATATATAATATAAAAATACAGGTTACAATGACGTTAAACGTCAAATGAATTGAAAAACTGAATAAACATAAAATTCACATAGCAACATGTAAACAAAATAGTAGAATGCCGTGAATATAGCATGAAAATGTTTCCAAACTCGAAGTTTGAATTTTACAAAAAATGTTTGGAAATAAAAATAATTGGAACTTTTGGCTTTTGGAAGAAATAATTATTGGAACTTTTGGCTTTTGGAAAAAAGAATTATTGGAACTTTTGGCTTTTGGAAAAAAGAACTATTGGAACTTTTTGACTTTGGAACAAAGAATTATTGGAACTTTTTTTCTCTGGAACTTTTTTTTGGAACTTTTGTCCTCCTACCAGATTTTTTCAAGACATTTTTTCCCATAAGAATAGACTTTTTCTTTTATTAAATTGCATTTTTTTCTATCGCTTTTTTTTTGTTAAAAAAACATTAGGTAGTTAAAGATTTTAAATAACTGTAATTATTTTAAATTAATTTTTAAGAAAATGTATATAATTTTTAAAGAAAAAAACTGACAGAAAATTTTATTTTAAGTTGATACCTAAATAAATAAAAATTAAAAAATAGAATAGAATTTATTAATTGATGCTACGAAAATTAAAAAAATTATAAATTTTTAAATTGAAAATTATTTTCTTCTAAATTGTTGAACTTACAATTGCTGGAATATAAACACCGCTGAAAACGTAACTGGGACAAGTGGGACCTTTAAGATCAACATTTTTCGAAGCACTAGGAATTAATTTTAATTTTTTTGCATTCATCATCCATTTGCTTGTCCAGTTTGGCAATTTATTGAGAACATTCTCATTTCGATATTTCAGTAAATTCACTTTTTCAAGTTTATGAAACAACGGTATATTTTGATAGCCGTGTGCATGAAGATGAGCTTGTTGGATTGTTTGTGTTTCACTGCGCGTCACTCCGTCGCTTGTTATTGAAAGTAAAGCTAAAAGGCGAAGACTTCGTAGTGGATGATCATCTACAAAACAAGTAGAAGAAAAATATCAAATTTCTCAATTTCAAAACTACAAAACACAATAAAGAGATAATTACGTTGTAATTTCTAAAAATAATTAATTATTTATTTTTGTATTTAAATAATTGAATTCTTGTAGTTGAATTTTAATAAGAATTAATGCAGAGAAGAATTTTTAGTTAAGGGGACACGCACCTGAATGAAAATTCAATCCAAGAACATAGTTCAAAACAATTTTTTTGTTTCTTTAAAACTATTTTCAATTAAAAGTCAAGTGGAATAGAAAACAAATTTTTTACATTCTTTTTCTAATAAAGTATAAAGTATTTATTTCATTGTATACCCATATTACAGAGTTTTTACAATCTACACGCCTACGCTAATTAGAAACAAATGTATCTTCCTTTATCTTTCTCTCAACGACATAAATAAAAAAATTGCAGTTTTTCAAATTTTTAAAAATAATTACATTTCTAAAGGTTTTACATTGAAAGTATTTTGAAATTTTAATTCCTGTGGACAAATAAATAACAATAAGTATTTAAATATTTATTTAACAAAAATGATTGAAATTTGAAAAATTTAATTTGGATATTAGTTTTTCGAAAAAATTAAAAATTTAGAGGATTTTTACAAAAAATTTCTATTAATAAATAATTCAATTCTCGAAAAAATATTTCAGGAATTTCGAGAAATTATTTTAAAAAAAGGATTTGAATATTGGAAAAGTTAATAGGAAAAATTTTTAAAAAGGTTTAACATTAAAATTTTTAAAAATTTTAATTTCTAATAATTTTAATAAAAATTCTTTATTTTTAAATAAATAAATTTTAAAAGAACTTTTAATAAATTATTGAAAATTATTGACTATTGCAAGAATTTTAGTTAAAAATTGTAGAAATAATAAAAAATGTGAAATTTGAAAATTTTCCATTTTTTGAAAATATTTTTATATTTACATCTTAGTTGTAGGATAGTATTTTTTGCAAAATTATGCTAAAATGTGACCAAATAACATGTAATACTCAAGTATAGAAACTTTAAAACCAATCCATGAAAAAATAAAAAATTTTCGATTTTTTGGAAAAAATTGAATATCTCCCGTTTCAATTAATATTAATAAGGATTTATTTAACTAAATTATTAAAGTTTTGAAGACTTTATAAATTCTAAAAAATTTGTTTTTTGAAAAATAGTAATTAAAATTTATTGAAGATAATTAAATTCCCGAAAATAATTATAAAAATTATAATAATAATTGGATTTTAAAAAAATAACTTTTTTTAGTAAAAAAAATGCCCGAAAAATTATATTTTTAAAAAATGAAGAATTTTTATTAAATTTCAAAAAGAAATTTTTCTAAACTGACAATGGACTTTTTTTCACGCGCGCATGTAGTTATGCTAGTTTAATAATAATTTAATAAATTTATAAATTAATAAAAAAGAAGTCTCACCTATATTTCTCTCAATATATTCCAAACATTCTTTTCGTCTCGTACATTCTAAAATAGATTCTTCGATGGAATGGAGATTCTCAAATTCTGAGCCTAGAGCACTAATTGCCGCCTCACAAGCGGTAATATGAAATTCAAGTTGCTGCTTCACTTCCGTTGTTTTTTTCAGAGTAGTCGCTACATAGTGCTTCATTTCTGCCAATTTCATTCCCTGCGTTGATTCCTGTTCGTCTGAAACGAAATATTTATAATTTTAATCACTTAGAAATTGAAAGGAGCCATAAAAATATGTATTCTACATAAAAGAATTGCACTTTTTAATAACTTGGCCTTATTTCGCAGTGTGGGAAAAGCGTCGCTAAAATGTTTATCTCTAACTTCGCCATAGACTTGATCTTTATTTGGATCGAGTTTCGTTTGTGCAGTGCCGAGCGATGCAGTTCCAATATTAATATCTACAACTTCACTAAGAAGACCCAAATAAGTGACAGAAGTAAGAAGTGTCGATGCCAAATCAAATGATCTGTCCATGAGAATTAATGCACCAATTTCATGTTCACTGCTCGATGTACCAAATGATTCTTCAATTGTTTTCACCATTTTTAATGTTTGCTGACTGTGCTTGCCAAATGCAAGTGTCAATCGTGGTGCACCGAGAATTAATTTCAGTGACCAAAGATTTCGCGACAATGCCGGAAGTAATCCAGTGTCTTTATAATAATAAAGATCGCTGAAAAATGGAATTTCCATTGAGAGAAAATTTCCATCGAAAAGAATAAATTCCCACGAAAGTGAACGTAATTCGATTAATCCCGCGAGACCTGAAAATCATATTTTAATTTTAGAAATGCAAATATAAATTTATTTAATTATTAATTGTTTAATTATGTAATTAAAATTGATATATGAAGGCGTTGGATAGACATTAAAACAGCAAAAATTTTCGTTTTCATCGATTCAAAGTGTAAAAAAAATCGAAAAAGTCCCTTATTTTATTTTAAAGTTGACACAAAGATTTCATTGGTACTTTTATATTTGTGACTGTCCACGAGAAAACAGGGCTTAGGCCCAAAAAATAAATTTTGAGTTTTTTATGGTAATCGACAGATTTTATGTTGCTTTTTCAAATGCAAAAGTCAAAAGTTAAAAATATCAATTATTTTCGACAATATATCGTTTTAAAGCTGGGTATGTCAAGCGTAGTTAACTTCAATCGTCGACTGTCCACGACAAAACACGGCTTAGGTCCAAAAAATCAATTTGAGTTTTTTATGGTAATCGACAGATTTTATGTTGCTTTTTCAGATGCAAAAGTCAAAAGTTAAAAATATCAACTACTTTCGACAATATATCGTTTTAAAGATGGGTATTTCAAGCGTAGTTAACTTCAATCGTAGTACTTCAATCGCTCGCCCTGTGAAATTCACGTTTGGGAGCTAAGCCCTGTTTTCTCGTGGACAGTCACATTTGATTTGTATTTCTCTAACTTTTTTTCCTTTGCATTGAAAACTTTTCAATTAATTAAACTAAACTTAACTTAACTAAACTTAACTTTTCAAAAAATTATAATTAAACTTTTTCAAATACCTAATTTTCTTAAAATTTCTAAATTAAATTATTGAAAAGTTGAATATCTTTGTTAAACAAATATTTAAATAGGGGAGTGTTGTCAGACTTGGACAGGGTTTAGGGTTGGGCCACTACGTTTATTTCGTTTTATTGCACTAGCGCCATCTATCTTTTTACAAAAATTCTTGCTACTAATGTCAGCCATCCTTTCATATGAGTCGCAGTTTAGTATACGAACCTATACTAGACCAGCGTACCAATTTGTGATATAGGCTCAGCAAAAACTTTTTTGTGGTGTCAAAAAAAGAGAACTAAATGTAGAAGAAATTTGCCAAAAACAAAATAAGTTTACAGAAATTGTTCACTAAGATGATATGTGAAAATGTGTAAAGTAATTTGGTGTTTGTGTCACGCGATTGTGTTCTGTGCGCCTATGACGCAAAACGACGCGTGAATCAGAGTTGGGCCATGAGGAAAATTTTGCAATTACAAAGCGTACTTGCAACAGAAATTCATTTTTTTACTTAAAGAGGTGTTAGAAACTCCATTTTCATTGGAAAGAGGAAAAAAAAATTTTTTTAATAACCTTTTTCTATTTTTTCAATTTTTCAATTTTGGATTTCGTTCATGTGGAATAAATTATCTAAAAAGTTATATGAAAATGCATAATATGGGATTTTATTTTAATTTCATGGTTCCTTTCCTCATTCCCAAGTGTCATTCTATCATTTGAAGGTCATTTTTAACCATTTACCTAAATATTTCATTGATTTTCTACAGTGGCCCAACTCTGGCAACCATGTTCAACTCTGACAAGATTTTTTTTTAAATTGCTTATATATCTGAATATTTTGGTCAAATTTTTTTACAATGTTCAGCAAAAACATTGCATTTGATCTTTCCAAAAATATGCGCGAAATCGCGAAATTCGTTCTACAGGGGAAGTTATGAAGAAAAGTCAAAACTATGCCCAACTCTAACAACACTCTCCTACTTATTGTTATTTATTTTTTCTGAGAAATTAAATTTTTTTAAAATTTTCTACTTCCAACCTTCTGAATGAAATTTAATTATTTCAACGAATTACAAACTAAAATTCTTTCAAAATCCAATTATTTTCTAAAATTTTTGAATGAAATTATTAAAAGTTTTATAATGGAAAAGAAAATATTTCAATATTATTGAAAATCAACATCAATATCAATTTAAAGTTTTTTAATTTTTAATAAGAAACCTTCTGAAATTCAATTATTTCTAAAAATTGAGAAATGTAAATTCTCCAAAACACAATTATTTTCTAGAATTTTGAAATAAAATTCTTCCGCAAGTCTAGTATTTTTAATAAGTAATAGAAAGTTCTTTGAAAATTCAATTATTCAAAAATAAAGAATTTTTAATTACAATTATCCGAAATACCAATTTTTAAAAATTTCACATACCTACAACTCTTCTAATATTCAATTGTTATCTATTGTTTTTAATGAAAATTCGTCTCTAAATCAATTATTATTTTTAATAGTTTTTAGAAAGTTTTTTTCAAAAGTCAATTATTTAATTATTTATTAAAATTTCTATTGCAATTGCTCCAAAATTCATTATTTTCTATTATTTTTAACTAAAATATTCTATAAATAAATTATTTTTATTAATTTATAGAAAGTTCTTTGAAAATTTAATTATTCAAAAATAAAGAATTTTTAATTAAAATTCTAGAGTTAATTATTGTTCCGGTAATCTGTTCGCAGTTTGAAGTTAGTTGTTGTTTGCTTTTTAGTTTCTTAACATGCTTAATAATTTTTCTTTTTAAATATTTTAAATTTTAAAATTAATGTATTGAAAATCATCTAACTATTGCAAAGAATTTTATTTAAAAAATTGATAATAATAGAATTCCTTCGAAGAATTTTATTATTTTGCAAAATAATTGAGTTCTCGAGAAGAGTTTTGATAAAATTTTTGAAAATTCTAATTAATTTCTTTTGAAGAATTTCTTTGAATTGTTTTTAAAATAATAGAGTTTCTTTAGGTAATAAATTTAATTAAAATTTTTTGAAATAATTGAATTTTATGAACAATTTCTATCAAGTTTTAAAAATAATCGTGTTTCTTAATAATTGAAATTCAACATTTAATTACAAAATTTTATTAAAATTTTAGAAAATAATTGAATTCTTTTGAAACATTTTATTTATTTATTTATTATTTATTTAATAACATAAGTTCCTAGGGCTAAGGAGCCCTCTAAGGAACAATACATAGTACATGGCTGAGTAGAAAGAACAATTTTATAACGAATTAAGAAAAAAATTGAATTCGTTCCTGGAATTTTTTTGAAAATAATTTGACTACAATTTATAAATATAATTGAATTGTTTCGAAGGATTGATTAAAATTTTACGAAATAATTGAATTTTTTGAAAAATATTATTCAAAATTAAAAAGAAATTGAATTCCTTCATGAAATTTTATAAAATTGTATTAAAAATAATTGAATTTTTAAGAAGAATTTATTAAAATTTTAGAAAATAATTGAATGCTATTGAAATTTTTTATAACGAATTATGAAAAAATTGAATTCTTTCGTGAAATTGTTTTGAATATATTTGAATTTTTGCAAAGAATTTTACTTTTCATAATTATATACTTAATTTAAATTGTTTATAATTGAATTGTTTTGAAGGATTTATTAAAATTTTGGAAAATAATTGAATTTTTTCGTATAATATTATTAAAAATCTTTTTAAAATTGAATTCTTTTATGAATTGTATTAAAAATAATTGAATTTCTGCAAAAAATTTGACTATTTATAAATAAAATTTTGAATTGTTTAGAAGGATTTATTAAAATTTCAGAAAATAATTTAATTTTTGCAAAGGTTTTATCTACTATTTAAATAATAATTTAATTGTTTCGTAAGATTTATTAAAGTTTTAGAAAATAATTGTATTCGTTAGTGGCATTTTATTAAAATTGTATTAAAAATAATTGAATTCTTAGGAAGAATGTTATTATTTATGAAAATAATTGAATTCTTGCGAAGAATTTTATTAAAATTTTTGAAATTAATAAACAAGAATAATTAAATTAGTAAATTAGTTGATTTTTGTACCATTTTTAGAAATTTGATATTTTTTCACTACTTTGGATAAAATTACTTGATTCGCCTGATCTATTTACAACTCTATTAATGTCGAAATTCCTAAACTAAATTTTTTAAATATTCTACCATTAAATTTTATATTTCAAAAATCGAAATAAATATCATTTTATACCAACAAAGTGGTATTTTCTTGCAATATTTGAAAGAAATGTCGAAAAAGTCACGTTTTTTTGAAAATAAGTCAAGACTTTCATTTTAGTAAGAGAAGAAATAATTCTATCTGCCAATAATGATTTTACCTTCTTCCTCAACAAGAGAGCGGAGTGCGAGAGGAACGAGTGGAACAACCAAAACGTGGTGAGATAATCCGGGTGAATTCGAGCGTTCTGCTTGTATTTGATCCAAGACTCTTTTACACGCAATCAAATCACACGAAGAAATAAAAATTCGTTGAGCATTTGCAGGTTTTAAACCTTGTTCCATTTTGAATATTTTTTCAACTCCATATCTCCTGTATATTTTTTAATTATCATTTTATTATTTCACAAATTAAAATAAATAACATTTAAAAAATCCGTTATTTACAAAAAATATATTCTGCGTTTATATCTCAGAAACTTATGTACGAAAAAAATACCTTAATACAGTAACTCCAACGAAACAATCTAACAATTTCATTAATTTTTGTTCTATTATTAAATCCTTTTTTCCAGCAATGCCATCTAAAATTTCAATCAATTTTCTTTGACTTATTTGCTGAAAAGCTCCTAATTTGTCATCCAGTGTAATATCCATTATTTTCAAAATATACTGACTCCAATAAAAAGTAGATATATTATTCGATACATATGTTTATTATTAATTTTTATTTTATTCTGTAATTATCTTTCTTGCGTCAGTTGTTAAGTTGCTATGCTAATTAAGAGACTGTTAAAATAATTTTTATTAATTTTGCTTGAAAATAAGGAAGGGTAAATTATTATCTTACCTAGAGACTGTTGATATTAAAATATGTTTTATAACTTGACAACTTAAAACATCGTTGTATAAAATTAGAACAAAATATTTTATTTATAAATATATATATATATATATATAAATTATAAACTTAATATAATATTAAAATACATTTCTATTAAATGATTGACGACTTAAAAAATACACAATATACATATTTTTGTTGACATATGCAACGCAACCAATTTGAATTAGGTCGTGTTCACAATATTTATAAATAGATTTAAGGCACAAACACAATGAAATGTCATTTGTCAATCGTGATTCGTGTCCCCCATTCTTCTTGTAATTCTACTCAGTAATAGAATAGATAGCTTATTAGAGAATATAAAAGAGGAAGGGCTCAATTTTTATTTTTTTGAATGTACTGTAAAAATATATAAAAAATTAAATAACATTTTTAAAAGAATTTTAAAAAATACAAAAGTAAGAAAATAGTTAAAAATTTTCGCGGGTTTTTTACTGACATCTTGTGGATAATTCCAAAAGACTAAAACATTTTTTTTTAAATAAATTTTAATTTGATTCATAGTAGGTAATAAATGAAATATTCTGTAAACTAGAAACGATAAAGTAAATTCCACTTTAAAACAAAGAAAAACAATTGAAATGTTTTCAAGTCCTGATCATCCGCAGAATAGACAAACGAGTTACGAGACAAACACATTCGCAGGAAGACTTTTGAGGTTAGTTTTTATCGAAATTTCAAAAGTCGTCTGCTATTTTGACAGGTGTGTGCGCAAGGTGATACTTGTATGTCAGTAGAAATGGCAATTTAATCAATTCCCTTTCCGTTATGTGAACGAAATGCTGTGAGTCATGAGTTAAACTTGACGTTATATTGACTCCCGTTGAGAAATAAAATATTTGTTGTGTTAAATTTTAAAGTGCATTTAACAAGAGCATGGAAGCGGAGGTTCGAGTGTTTTTAAAAATTTTTCATCTTGCTAATCATGAATTGAAAATTTGTCACGGCTCTTTCACATGACGCAAATAACTTGATCAGCATTGCCAAAAAATTAATACCACAGTGCAATTTCGTAATTCTTTAATGTACAAATTTAGAAAGATCACAGGAAATCACTTGGCACATTGTTTTTATTCAGTCTTGAGATTTTATCATTTCAGGGTGACTTTATAATATTGATATTAAAATATATAAGTTTAATGAACAATTTTAAAAAAGTTTTCATTTTTCCTTACTTTTCTCAATATAAATAGATGACAAATGGTGATGTCAAATTCTATAGAATTAAGTAAATAAGAATACTCTTCCATAAAATGGATAAGATTCTATAAATAGAAAATGTTCAGCAATATAATTGCTCGAAACCAAGTATTAAAAGTGATAATGATACCAAATATTAAGTCACAAGCAATCAAAATTGTATTTAAAGAAAAGAAGAATTTATACCTAGTTGATGCTAATCTAGTCATATCATTGTATAATTATTGTGAATAAAGATTAGAATTTCGCCAAAGAAGACGCAATATATCGTTCAATTTTTAATTAAAAATGGAAAATTGTAATGAAAATGGTACAAGGGAGGAAAATTCTTTGAAATCAAAGCAAAAGAAGAAATCCCTGTGTCAAATTTTAATGAATAAAAAAACAAAAGTTGGATGTTTGGAGGCATCGCAAAAAGACAGTGAACAACAACAACAACAACAACAACAACAACAACAACAGCAGCAGCAACAAAGAAGTTCAAAAATGGAAAATTCACATCACAGCTCAAATACAAGTACAAAATTGTCACTTTGTTGTGCCATGACAGAAAGAAGTAGAACTCCACCGCAAAGTTTGACAGTTAGTCGTCTATCGCCAAAATTAAGTAGAACTTCAATCAAATCCGAAGAAATAGTTCCACTGCAAGAGGAAAATTATCAGACTGAAGCGTTAATTGAAAATGGAGCATCATCAAGGGCAATTTCCACTCCAGTTAATTCGGAATGTTTCACAAGAAGAAATAAACCCATCCTAAATAAAGATCGACACAGCGCTTGCATAGAAGGTGAGTCTTTTTAAATTTCTATCAAAAAAATAATAAATATTCATTATTATAATTTTATATTCAAAATTTATAAGATAAAAAATAGAAGAATTTATTGTTTTCTTTGTATGAACAATTAATGAGAATTTAACCTTTAATGAATTAACATTTAACTTTTAAAAATGCACCTATTTAGAATTTTTCGAATTTTTTTCCATCTCTATTTTTCACATTGCCCCACTATTGTAAAAATGTGAGCGTATGGGAGTATCTACGTAATCGAGTTGAATAAGTCAGAAAGCATAAAGTCGAGTTCCAGTTGTTGTTCTGCATTCGTGTCATACGGACCACGACGAGAAATAATAAAATGTGTGTTAGTCTAACAAACCTGAAATTATCAAAATAAACATATGTTCCTAGATATATAGACATATATAACGTGAAACAATTTTATAAGGCATTATGAGTGAGTCAGAGAGATCGCCTAAGAAAAAGAAGAGAAGTTTTCTCAATCGATTAGCTCATTCGTTCAGAAAAAAATTTACCAATCCAACAGATGTTAGTGATAATGAAAAAGAAAAACGACAATTGAAAAAAAATAATGAAAAATACAAAGAAAATAATGACACAACATTAAGTGATGAAGCATCCTGTTCGAAAAATATAATGAAGAAAACAATTTTTAGTGATAATGAAAATAAAATTTATTTTAAAAATAATACAATAGATGACGATAATAATGATTCTAATAAACAAATGACATTAGCGATGCAGAATTCTAAAGTAAATAATTTATTATTGGTAAAAAGTGAAGTTGAATTAAAAAGAAATGAGAAAAAAATGAAAAAATTTATTTCTAAAGAGAAAATGAGAAATAATGATGACACTAGCTCTGACAGTGATTATTCGACAACTGACACCAGTGATTCGAGTGATGATGAAAATGACAATGAACAATTCTTGAGTAGTGAAAAAAACGACTTTTACTTAAAAAGTGATTATTTCACTAAAGGAAAATACATGACATATTTCTTTTTGCAAATGGAAAAAATGAATTATAATCCTTATGAAGTTTACAATATTATTCGGTACTACGATTCTGAAATATCAGGTGAGAAAAAGAAGAAGGTTCAGAATTAAAAACTATTTTCAAAGTTTATTAATTTACAAATTTAATTATTTACTCTTAATTAATTTATTTTTACTAATTTTTATTTTCAAATGAAATGATTCGCAAATGAACGAAATTCTTTTATTTCTTCTTCAAATTAAATTTTTATTAAATAATAATTTTGTATCAGACAAATTAATTGTAATTTAATTTAATTAATCTGTAATTTGTGAAAATATTTTTAATGAAGAATATTTCGTCCATTTAAACGACGATCAAAAATTGTAGATCATAAGAAATTACAATAAGTAAAATCTGGGTTGCCACAAGTCAGGGATTTTTATTAAAAGTACTGAAAAAAATTTAAATCTTGGAATTCAAAACCTTCAATTTTTTCTATTTCTATTTCTAACGATAATTTCTTTTTAAAAGACTTAATTCTTAAAGAACAATCATATAATTATTATACTTATATAATATTTTACTTAAATATTTCAAAATTAATTAAATTTTAAATGAGTTGCGCTTACAATTTTCATAAACAGATGAACTTAAAAAGGTTTAAATTTGAAATTTTATAAAATTTCAATTTTGAATGAACTTATATTTTTGAAAAATTTTAATCATTCGGATTCTTTTCAAATTATTTACATTTTTAATACATATTTAATTAATTATTAAAAACAAAATTTAAAAAAATTCTCGTCAAAATTTCAATTATCTTTGTAAATAATAAAATTCTTCTCCGAAATTCAATTATTTTTAAAAATTTTATTAAAATTCTTGGCAAAATTTCAAAAATTTTCCTATTAGAATAAAATACATATAATTTTTACTATTTTAATAAAATTATTCAATTATTTAAAATTTTTTTTAATAAAGTTCTACGTAAACATTTAAATATTTTTATAAATTGAAAAATTTCTTAGGAATCAAGATTTGCGGTAGAGAATCGCCGCCAAGTAAAAAGCAAAAACCGCGAATATATTATATTCTCGAAATATCGGCTGTTTTTCGATAAAATTGAATAACTCGAGTAAATCTTAACCGATTTGTCTCATTCATTATTCGTTGGATAAACAGTCAAAAAAGAAAGAATTCTGTTAAGTTTTTTCAATATTTCATATAGTTTGATAGAATTTAGGCTGGGAAAACCGAAAAAATAGCGATTTTTTGAGATTTAGACAAACGTGGAGCGTAAACTCCTAAATGGATTTCTGAAATATTTTAGAATATTATTAATTAGGTTAAAATCTCGATATACATTTTAGGAAATTCAGGGTGGCGAGTGAAAACTGTTTTTGAAATTCCCTGTCTTTTCCCTGACTTTTCCCTGTCCAAAAACAAAATTCCCTGTCTTATAAACCTATATATATCATTTAGTTATAAAAGCAATTATTATTTTCGTATGAAATAAAGTTAAAATTAATTCTTTTTAAGCATTATATTCAACTTTGGTATCACTTTATTGTTTAAAATTCTATTAAATATTTAAAAATACATAATATTAAACATCAAACACTTCTAAACATTTTTCACATTAAAATTTAAAGTCAAACAAATATGAAGTTAAGCTTCTTGTAAATCTTGGATTTGATTGTTTAATGCATCAAGTTCCTTTTGAGAATCTTCTAATACTTTCGCTTTCTTTGCTTCTAGATCTCTCACTTGAAGATTGATAAGTTTCCTTTTAGATGCCAATGTATTTGCCGCTTCTGATTCTTTTCGACGTTTTTCATTAAAACGGGAATATGCATTTCGAACTGAGAGAATCATCTGTTTGTTAACATTGAATTTTTCAATTCCACCGAGGTTATTTACTGTGTCATAGACAATTCTCCTAGCGACCAACGTTTCCTCCTTCATATTTTCTATCATGCATTCTCCGTTAACAGAAAAGCCACGTTCAACGTTGGCATTTCCATGAGAAAATACATTTACCATTTACATCACAACTCTTATGTTTTCACTGGGTGTGAATTCATCAAAAATTTTTGTCCAAAAATGATCTAAACGCTGAGTTTTTCTATTAAAATCTTTCAAGTTCATCTGAACTTTTGACATCTTGCACACATTTTTAAACTCACGTGCAGCTTTTTCAGCAACATTACCGTCAAGCCAATTTTTTTCAACCAGAGTTGTTAATAAATCATTTATTCTTTTCTCACCCAATTTAATGTCAGCTGCCACATATGGATCGAAGCAGGAAATAGATTTAGTCAGTTTGTACGCTAGAGGAGATCGTTCTTGTAACTTACTGACGAATTTAATGAGACACTTTCTGCAATCTTGACGAAATTGAAGAATTTCGAGACTAGTGCAACCTTTCACTTTCTTTAAAATAGTTTTAGTGGCGATACCAAGGTGAATCTGTGCAGCTGTTAATAGATTTTTACTATCATTTAAATCCACGTCCAGCACTGATTTTGCTTTCTTCATGACTTCAGAATTTACAAACCTCTCCATTTGATCACACATAATACTGGTGAGAGCGTTGTACAAAAACGGAGCAAGTGGTAAATCGGTCTGAAATTCAGTCAGAAAAGGCTCAAGATCTTGCGACAATAATTTAAAAAATGTCAACTTGGCTGTTAACAAAGGATCGTTACAGAATTTCACAAGAGTATTGAAGCTATTACAAGTTGGCGGTTTGGAAGACTTATTAACTTCAGCAATGTACTTAATAATATCAGGTAGTATTTCTAAAGCCCGCTGTGCGACATTTTCATTATTAAGCCATCGAACTGAACAAAATTTAAGTGGAAAATTATGACTTTTTGTAATTTCAGTAAACATTTGTCGCCTGGATGGAACATCTTTGAAGAAATTGTAGGATGCTCTTAAAAATTGTTCTAGGTCCCAGCCTGTTTCCTTAATGCCGCCCTTAAAAGCTCCACTAGTAGTGTGAAGCCCACAACTACCAATTTCCAACATTTTAGGGTCATTTTTGTCAGGTGCAATAGGGCCTTTTATGTCTTTAAGAAACTTTAAATTGACATTTGGGCCATCTAAGGAAATTTGCAATATCTTTCTTGGTATGAGAGGAGATATGCCATTTAAAAATGCAATTATTAAATCAGAGGCTGTACAACGTTCCAAAAATTCTGACGTGAGGAATCGCGTTTTGACTTCATTGCCATTTTTTGGCCAATAGCGAACATTCAAGTCCATTTGCTGCTTTTGAGCAATTTTATTAAGCGCTTCATCGAATCCAACTGTAAAAAAATCACATTCCATTACCTCACTAACTAATTCGTTTTTAAAATATGGTGCCAAGCCGAACACAATCGAATAACCAATTTTATCTCGCTGTAACTGCATTTTTTTCGCTATCAAACTATCAGTAAACATCCTAGAGAAAAGTGTAACATCTCGCCCTCCTGAACGTAGTGATTTATGCGTCATGACACATTCAATGACCCACAATATTTCTGCTTTCGTGATATCATCTTTAATTACAAATCCATCCATTGGTTTGGCACTATTGACAATTTTTTCAACTGTCCCTGCAACTATCGCTGAATCCTGAGAAGTAGACGGTGAATTTGCGAATTGAACAACTTGATCTGGAAAATTTATTAAAGCAGAATTCTGAACTGTTGATGCGAAATTCTTTGAAGAAGCACTGTTAGATTCTTGGTGTTTTTCGAGGAAAAAATTTGACAGCGAAATCACATTAGCTTCAGCATTTATAGCTTTTATGTGCTTGTCACTTTTCATATGACTAGTCAGGGCTCTTCTTCCCATATTACTCAAATTAATTATTTTCGGGCACTTTATACATTTTGCTTCAAAACCATTACTTTCAACTCTTGCCAGCCAAGGTTTAAACATTGGATCTATTAACCACTGAACTTGGAATGAAGTTAGTTTACCTTGAGTCATAATCAAATTAAACTTAAACCCTATA